CGTATGGAAGGGGCTCGACATCGACGAAGATGAAACGCTGGAAACGGAGGGTCTACAGGGGTTCAAGGAGAAGATATCTGTTGCTTGTGCCGAGAGAGAAGAACAGAATCTGAGGTGACTATGAGTACACTCCCCCCCCTTAGAAGTGTACGGAATGTTGAAGGAATGAATAGGGTTCAAGGATTACCTACATGGACCAATGGATGCAGGAACAAAGCTTAAGGTCAAATTCAGGACCGGGGACATAGGCCTTCGAGAACGTCGACGAAGACACAGGACGGTAGACGACGAAGACGACGAGTTCAAATGTGATTGCGGCTTCGAATGCGAACACCGTGTTCATGTAGTCGCAGAATGACCGTTGTACAAGAAGGAGAAGGAAGTGTACGTGACTGAGCTGGGAAAGATAGATGGGGCGTACAGGGAGATGTTTGAGGCATGGAATAGAGAGGAAAGGACGGTAGCTGTACTGGGGCATAGGAGGTGGGTTGAAAAAAGGCGGGAAGAGATATCGTTAGTATAGAGACTAGGGAAGACACTTTTGAGCCACCTTTGGCAAAGTAGAAAGGAACGATTGGCCATCGGTGATCGGTCCTGTGGGAACAATGCTCCGTCCTCTCGAGGACGCGTGGTCAATGGTCTAACCGCTAAGACATGCAAAACATAAGAGNGGCCCGTCAAGGCTGGTTTTGTGCCTTGTGCTGACGTCGTTGATTTGGGTTTGTGTACAGTATTGCGTCGGGCGTGACGTGGAAGGAAAGAGAAGCGCAGTCAGCATATTTGTTGACATTATAAGGTACAGCTTCTTTCCGCAGGAGCGTTCCTGAATAGGCTTACGCGGCGGAAGCATGCGTGATCATCACCACGAGCATCCCTCGCCCCCTGGATGGCTTTTGACCACTCTCCTTGTTGAACGGTTCACCTCTCGTATGTCCCTACGCGCGCTTGCATCCATGCCCCTTCCAGCTATCCCTCTCCTTAACCCTGGTCCGAGACGCCCTCGGTCGGCCCAAGTACTTCCTGTGCTCCCTTCTCCCCAACACTCCCGCGGCATCACCTCCCTTGTCGACCGTCCCTGGACCACTTGCAAGCGGCGGCCTCCTCCCCGGCCCCGGCGACGCTGCATGTGCTGGCGGTTCTTCCGATTGTGCTTCCGATGATGCTGCTTCTTCGAGGCGTGCCTCCGGTGGCGGCGGCGGCGGCGGCATGGATGCTTCTTCTACAAGCGAATACGGCGGCGGCGGTGCGCCTCCTCCTCCTCCTCCTCCCGCCGCTGCCGCCCGTGGACCGGTGGGTTCGTTACCCGACGCATCCGCCGCCGTGACTTCTTCTGCGGAGGGCGGAACTACAACAAATGATACTGCCGCTGCTGCTGCTGCTGCTGGAAGTGCCGGTGACGCAAAGTCGAGTGTGTCCACAACGGGTTCACACAGTGGCGTGAACCCATCCCTCACGCCGGCGGCAGCGGAGCCCGGGGGTATATCTGTATCTACTGCGGATGACGATGATGCCGATATTGCTTCCACGTCTACTGCTGCTGCTGCTGCTGCTGCTGCTGCTGCTGCAGACACTGAAAGCATTAACGGTTGCAGCTCCGGCTCGGACGGCGACGTGGGGTCCATGATGATGTCCAGCCGCGAAGTTGTCGAACTCGTCGAGGTGTTTGAAAGCAGCCGTGGTGGCGACAGCAGAGGCAAGGACGACATGGCGGCCAAGAGGAGATGAAAACGTCCACCAGCCACAACCAATACGCTTGGTTTTTGATGTGGCAAAAATATTTGATGTGCAAGGGCTTATGTTATCTGGGTGACTTGATTTACGCGCGGAGTTGGAGTAGCAAAAACGATGGCGAGAGTCCGCCGCGCCGTGACTCGCCACCTAGGCTGGGCGTGTCGTAATTTTGGGTTGGGGTTTTGAGGGCAACGAGGGGAGAGAGGAGACAAACGAACGAGTCGAATTCATTTTGAGTGAGGGCAGGGCCATGATATGTACCCTTACCCATCCCAACTCCGCCATCCAGTCCCACGCACTTAGTAGGGTGTTCGTGGTTCATGGTTATTATTTTTACTGCTCTGATCCGGGGGCTCGTAGCCTGCTTGGTCGTTGGAGCTGTCTATAATCGTGTGCAAACCGCTGCCGTCATCGTCGATGTTTCGGCGACTCGCGATTTGTCGGCTGCTTGCTGTTGATCATTACGGCCAACCAGGTTGTGGGAGAGATTTCCACCCGCCCGCAAACACCGTCCGGATTGATCGAAGTGGATGGTGATAGCTTCTTTCGTGCTTACGCTTGTGACGACGCGGAAAACGGTTTAGGATTGCAGGAGAAGATGCAGGCATTTGAATGAATCGAAAATTTACTTGGGGTCTAGTGTTGTTTACTCAGTACAAAAGTAGATAGTAGGTGGGGACCTGCACGTCACAGCCAGCAGTTATTTTACTTCGAGGTTCTTAATTTCTGTTTTCATTTTCAAGCTATTGAAGTTACATAACTGCAACTGAATTCAGAACAGAAGCGAGCGTTGCCTCGTACGGCTGATAGGTTAAAAGTGCAGCCGATTGCATGGACGTATTAGCGTATTAGCTGTTACCCTGTTGTGGTCTCCTTCATTCATTTGCCATCAGGCACCGAATCTATCTTGGGAATACTCAAATAGTCGACGTCTCTTTCTTCGTCGCTTCTTCGGGGATGGTTCCTCTAAATGGTCGGTGCATATCCTTGTACAATCAATCTACATGCTTCCTGTGTTTATGCATCGTCCAATAAATTTACATTCTTGTACCACGAGTTAGGCACTTTTTGAATGCATTCATTTGCACGCACAGCGTAGCAGCGTACCAAGCCCCCCCCAGCGCATCATCACCAGCTACCAATCGAGGAAAACAATGGGAAAGTGTTTCAGTATTTGCTTGAGGGATCAACAACCCGCTCACACCCTTGCGCTAACGGTACATACATACGTTACGCACGCATAGATAGAAGCATGCAAAGACGCCACAGAGACGACAGAATGAGAGGGATGCATACAATGAATTTGCATCCGTAATTAATTCTGTTACATTTTGATTTTGCCTCCAGTCAGCCGTGACAAAGGCTCCTGCCGGTGTCGGTTGATTGATTGTGTTCGTGCGAGAACGAAAAGAAAACGACGCGCAGATGAAACAGGTTCTTTGACGCGGTCCTCGTTCTTTACAATTGGGGAGGGGGGTGTACTCATACTCATAGTCGTGCATGCCGTAGTCGTTAGACCATTGACCTCGCATCCCTACAAAGCCGGGACGGAGCACGCCGGGTTCTCACCGGACCAGGCTCTCACATCACCAAGCGCAAAGCGCCGTGAGATATTCGGCGAGTCGCACGAAGGGTGCGCTGCATCCTGCTAAGGGTGTTCGGCATCTTGTGCTTACTCCCTTGCGTACGGATGACAGCTGCGTATGACTTAATTTATTTTCTGTTGCCTTCACTTCCTGAGACAGTTGTAAGCGCTGTGTAACTGCCTCGAGGGTGCTTGACCCATTAAACACAACGTGGTGCGATTATCCCCCTTGCGCGGAGTTCTCGACCCCGCACAACATGATCTACTCGACCACCATTCGTGAGTGCTTATTATATCTTGCATGCAGCTGTCGCGTTTGGGGGCTCTGTTCTTACACCACAAAGAAAGGCGGGTTCGTTCTTGTTGTTCTTAGCACCACGTCGGTCGGGCCTGAGCACGCACGTGTGTTGTTGTTATTATTATGTGGTCAGTTCTTTGATTTTTTTTCGAGGCCGCATTTCCTAACTGCCAAGTTTTTAAGTGCAAGCGCCATGTTTATCTTCTGATGATCATGATGTAGTGCCGGAAGCAACATAGACATGGGCCTACTCTATTTGATATATATATTGTTGCGTGGAATCACGCACGGCAACGATCGGGGGGCAAAGCAAAGACTGAGAAAAAGAGAGAGTAGGCGAGGATATATACTATATACATACGCTGCCTCTCTCTGTAAAAGTCAATATGGCAACACGTACTACGTACGTACGTACGTACGTCTGTCTCCTTAAAAACATATAACAAAAATAGTGGTCGAATAAAGTGTTATTACATAATAATATACTCCCTCTGCCCTGATATATGAGCGTGATTTGGATATTCCGAGTATAAGCGAGGTTTGCACTATATGCTCCAAAAAAGGCCGTTTGGTCATTTTGAGACGTCAAACAACTTCGTCATCAGATACCACATTGGACGAAAAAAATAAAAAGTCACATAGGGAGGGGATAATCCGTTGCCACCCCCCGGTTGTGAAATCCAGGGAAATCGAGCATATTTGTACCCAGTCACGGGAGAAACGGGGCAGCCGTTGCTGATGAATCAAGACCGCACTCAAAAATAAAAAACCGGGCTTATTTTATGACAGCACCGCCCCGCTTGTTAAATTGGGCAGCTCGGACATCAAGTTGGAGTGGGGGGTGTGGGCGGGGGTACAAATGGCGTGTGGACAGCAGCAGCAGCAGCAGCAGCAGCAGTAGCAGTAGAATCGCCGCTACTTGGGGTGTTAAAACGTCGCGTTGCAGCAGTAGTGCTCGCACAAGTTGAACACTCATACCCCATTGTTCACCGCCCATTGCATTCTTCACAGCATGTCCAAATGTATTTGCTCCTTAAAACATCATGGCCGCCACAACTGCTGTACGTTTACAATCTGTCGTCGCCTCGTCTGCCTAACTTAGTGGACAGAAAGAATGGCCAACGCTAAACGCGGTGCTCCTTCCTGCTGCTACAGGTCCACGACACTCTGCAAAAAACGTGCGCACGGAAACCGAAAAGCAATGAACTACCCGCCCGCCCCGTCCCTTTCTACGCGGCTCCTCCTTGTCCCTCTCCCGCCGCGAGCGACGATGTACCCTTGATCCACGCCTCCTCGGAGATCTGGTACCGCAGTGGGATGGGCGTCCCCGCCCGTGCAGCCTTGTCCTTGCTCAATCAAGTGAGGGAGGACCTTGTAGGTGTTGTCCCCGCCGCAGAGCAAGGTTTGCTCCAAGCAAGCCTGGAGCGAAGTCCACACTTTGCCCAGCTTGTCCGGCGACGCCTTCTCCCACGCGGTCTCGGCCTCGCCGACGAGGTCGTCGATAGTCCTGGGCTTGTAGCGGTCCTGCAGGGACTGGATCGACGCGAAGAAGCCCAGGTCCAGGATGTTGGTGTCAGGGCTGTTGGGAGGATGGTTGCAGAGTCTGATGTCGAATCCATCCGAGGTACTCGCCTCCAGCACGTCCGCGTCGCTAGTGATGAGGTGCGGCCTCGCGTTATCCTGCTGCAGGAAGATGGGGTTGTAGCGAGTTGCAGCTGGCCACATCTCTTTGATTGCGGGGATCACCTCGTCGATCAGCTTCGCCTTGTAGGTCTCCTTCGTAACCTCCACACACTTCGTGAAGAGAGTCCCAGCAGCCCGGTTCCGGCTGTTGCGCACAGCGGGAACCTTCTCCGTGAAGGCCCACATGCCGACCTTACCGTTGAAAAGGGCGTTGGCGGCTGAGTTGTGACGTGGGCGAGCCACAGCGGCGATGAACATGACCTTCGTGACAAATCTCTTGCTCTGGACCTTGCGGACAGGGGGGATCTTATCGTCGTACTAGTAGAACTTCTGTCCATCCGTGTACAGGTACACCCATTTCTCACCCACGTGCACGAAGTCCTCGAAGTCGTGGAACACCCTGGTACCGCCCGCTGCAGGGCGTACCCACCGCAACGCCCACCTGATTTTTTCGAACTTCCCGTCGCGGGAGTCAGGAACGGCTTGAGTGCGTTCGAGTGCGCCCTCAGCCCGAGCACCTTGAGATTCCTGTGCAACGTGCTTTTGGGAATCCCAAGCGCCGCAGCTAAGCGGCGCTGTGTGGTGCGGTCGTTCAGCGGGATGTCACGCAGGCGCTCCTTCAGTTCTTCGAGGGGAATGCCCTTCCGGCCGCTATTTCCCTTGCGCCGGTTCTCTATCTGTGGACTGGCGACCCCCGCTTTGTGCTGCGTATCGTACCTCATCCACAGCCTCTTGATCGTCTCCCAGTAGCAGCCGAACTTCTCGCCGGCTTCCTTGAACGCACCATACAATCAATGTACCGCAAAACCCCGGTCTTGCTGACAGCGAGGCGGTACCGAATCACCTCCTCTCTTTCCTCTTTGTTGAAATTCTTGCGTTTTGCCACCTGGGAGGCACTCCCAGCTGCAGACATCCCTCACCAGCAGATGGGAAGGCTTTTGGGCGGAGGTCCAAAGTTGGGGTGGGGTTCTGCGCGCCCCGCGCGAGTGCGGCGAAACCAAGGAAAAAAACGGTTCGGGTAAAGATAAAAAATTGGCGAAGATAGACCGCATTTTGTCCACCTCCCGATCTAGTATATCGGGGCAGAGGGAGTAATCTCTGCTGAAAAGAATTGCGCGCTCAGCATGAAATAATTCTATACTTCGTACATAGTCTATGTTGTTGCTGTTGTTGCTGCTGTGCAACATAAAAACTTAGCTGACCAAAAACTTGCCATTGAACGATTGGTATAAGATTGTGACTCACGGTAAAAGTTGCTGGATCGATCCACCCCACGTTTTATGTTTTCTTCATCGGATCGATCATCATCTTGAAGTAGAGTAAAGTTGTCTGTCTGCTGATGTATTGCAAAATACGATGCATACAGACAAGGGTGGAACACAACGTACAGCAGTCTAGTAGCAAGGAAAGGGCCCCGGTGGTCTAGTGGTATCCTCGTAATCCGCTAGTAGTCGCAGAAGTCGTGAGTTCGAATTCCCATGGATGGGGTGAAAAAATTACGAAATATTAGCTAAAAAAAGGTCTCGTGAGTACCAAACTTCGACGTTAGCACCTTAGCACCGTTGACGAGGGAAAGGGACGGCTGGATGGACCCTTTCCGATAAAAATATAATTCAGCACGCACGCAGGAGGAAGGTGGGGCATGAAAAGAAATATATGAATATATAAATAAGAAAACAGCCCTGTCTGGTATTTACCCCCTCCTGTCTGTGTGACCCTGGATGGTTGGTTGTGGTTGTATGTACGAAAAAAATACACTGAAAAGTGTAGTACTACTCTACATACGCTGAAAAGTGTAGTACACGTCTCACCACGAAAACTAAATGGGAAGACTGTCGCCATTATAAACAGGACGAAAACACACAACACACAAGGGAGGGGAAAACTCACAACATATTTTTTCATTTATTATTGTCTCCTCCTCCTCCTTCTTCACAAAGATATAGTAGCTGTCGCTAAAACGAGCGACAGCTGATAGATGTAACTGTCGTCAGACGTGTGCGTCCGCGGGAGGTGGAAGAGACCCTTTCTTCTTCTTTTTCTCTTTGCAATTCACGTCATTGGTTACCCGCGACGGCGCTGAAGACGCCCATGTCCGTGTACTTGACCCTCGTACTCTGTGCTAACTCCCCAAGTCTAACCTCTTCCTGCAGCCTAGCCTTCATCGTCGGCGAATTTCCAAGGTTACCAATCCTGTCGAAACTCATGGGCTCTACCATGAGGTCCACAAGTCTCTTCGCCCTACTGAGACAGACGAAAGTAAGCCCCGTGCAGGCCTCCTTGGGCCCCAAGTCAATGACGGCCTTGGCTAAAGTCTGCCCCTGGGACTTGTGCATCGTAATTGCCCAGCAGAGCCTAAGG